TATATATAAACGTCGGTTGATCTAAGAAGATCTTAAAATATAGGCAGATCAAATATATTAAGCTGTTACAAGCGAATCCGATAGACTTTGAAATTAAATAACTTTTGGGCTAGTAGGACTAGAATAACAATTTAGTATACACTAGAGATGCTCCCTTTATTTCTTAGGCACTTATCGCAGCGCTCTGCCGACATCTAGACAGCCATATACTGAGCGGATTGAAAGTAATGTTGTATTTCCCTTTGCTCTATCCAGGAAATAATTCAGATATGGTGATAAGCAACTTCGGCATCAAGTAACCAGACTGCTTGCTTCCGATTGTCGCGCCGTCATTCCATGTGTCTTTTGAGGGACTTGAGATAGCGAGGTGCATTCATTGTTTCATTTTTAGCGAGCAGCTCACACATGCCCCTGACGTCCATTGCAAACACCCCCATCACGTTATGTTTTTCTCTATTCGGAACTACCACTGAAAGCGATTTCTCAGGTCGACGCCATTCTTTTGTCTTGGTTCTCTCCGACTGGTGCTTCCGTTCCTCTTCTATAGTGACCGTATGGTTGATTTAAGTTCCGCACCTGGCATACACCATATCCATCTGACCTGCAATCAATTCACGAAGGGCTCATTTTTGGTAAGCTTCCGCATTTTCAATATTTGGGTTGTAATTCGCGCTGCACGTAAAATGTCAGTTTCAGCCGACAAAGCTTTTAAACCTCAAACCCAACCTTTGTAAAAAGCATCCTCAATCGCGGCAGTGAATTCTTATCCTTCGAAGTCCAACATCTGGTCACCTTTCCACTTATCTTTCCGCGCTTGAAATATCTGCATCACTTACGTGCTGTGCTTTTGCATTAACGCCTTCTTGTCTAATATCTTCCCCAATCTCAGGAAACAAGTACTTGGCCACTGAGTCTGATTTTTGTAATTAAAAGATGCTTTTCCTTCTGAGCTAATTTGTTATAGAGTAAAATTGACCGATTTCACTTCTAGATATCCAAAATAGTGGAAGATTTACGAGTTAAATGTCGTCTAGTAATTAAAAAATTACTTCATTCCAAAGACCCCCGGATCCGCTCATAACATTCTATTATATTGTTTAGTGTGCAGCGTAATGACAGTGCGAAACTGTCGATTTTACCATTAACGCAAGTTGAATACAATATGCCATCTGCAACAGTGGTTGGCGTCCAAGCCAACATCCATAAGGCAAAAATGGCTTGCCTTTAAAAAGAAGTCCAGAAATTTGGTCTCAGTTTATTTCGCTGGATTTAAGGCCACTCTAAGGCCAGTCTCATTGTCATCAGCCAACAAATAACCTAGAACACAATGTTGTGATGCATTCATTAAACAGTTGTCGGGCATTAGTTTAGACTTGTAGTCCACACTGGTTTAATAAACTCTTCATAGTGACCTTACGTTGCATCCTAGACACATCTAAGCTTTTCTCCCGTAATTCCTAAATTATGGCTCGATTTAGCTTAAAGGTATTTTAGTCCAAATTTACCTAACAAGATACCTTATAGGGATTGCATTTGCCACAAGTCTTCGATCACTGGATGTGTGGAACGTTCCAGCAATCTATATGTATTCCTAAAGTAGATCGTTTGTATCAGGGACCTTTTCCGCTCGAGCGATGTGTTCATCGTATTGATAAATACAACAATGAGGAACCTGATTTCATTACCTGCTATATACATTCAATTTATTTATTATTATACGGATCCCATAAACTTTTCCGGAATATTTACTACATATAGTAACTGAAACCTGCATTCCATCGTTTCGTTCATTTTGTAACAGTGGGGATGCATTTCGGACGTTACGCCATAATATGTCTACTCAATGTTGGTAGTGCGGCTCCTAAGGTTTATATCGTTATAGAACTCCGACTAAGAATTCTACACCAATCGTTTACTTGCAACCGGTCGAGTGCGTATCTCAACTCCGTACAAATGCCCAGAATGCGTTCTCCTCAGTGATCCTCTTATTAAAAGTACTTTTCAGCAATAGAAATCACACAGTCTGAACTATAATAGCTACAGGTCGTAGATTTATCTGCAGATTCTAAATAATGGGACCTTGCCTCCTCTGTATTGACTGTCGTATCTGTCTAACATTTACCATGCTCTTAATTTAGCAGTCGGTCAATGTAGATTTGCTATTGACGTACGTTAGTATCCGATATCGGCAATATTGCAAACGGATTCAAAAAAGCAAACGAGTTGGGCTGCTCTGGCAAGCTGCTGAGCATAGAGAAGTCCATCAGGATAACATCCGAACATTGACGGAATCGCCGGCAATGGATTTCTTGGCCAATCGACGACAACAATACAACTACTACGAGATGGGTAAAGGGAGGCGGGTAGAGTTGAGGAGAAGGTTGAAAGGACAGTTATGGGACGGACGGCCGAGCTTTGGATGGTATCAAGAATCTTGGTGTACAGGAGTAGGATGTCAATTCTCCTTTTCCATCCTATCGCAGAGGGCAAAAAGGCAAGACACGAGTACAATAGAAGTTTCCCACAGGGAAGTCTCTATCTTGGAAGTGACTAAGTTGTAAGTGACTACAGATGTGCATGCGTTGTGTGACACCGGTGACCGTATGTCGGTTTGTCTGTACGTCCGCAAACCTCCTCCGGTTGCCTATGGAGGCTCATCTGACATTGGCCCTGTGAGAGTGCGCCTACAAAATAGACTTCAGTGTCCGTCTTCCGATGTCCATTGCGTCCACTGCCCTCCGGTCCGTGGTCATCTAGCTCGATCAAGCGGCGCCCCGGAGTCCCACAATTCCATTTTCTTACGGTAGAGCCGGGGGTCGTGCCATCAGCATTTCCTGTCAGGCGTCATTGTGTGCAGCACGGCTCTACCACTGCTGCCTCTGAGGATGGGTATTACTATCCACAATCGTCACTATACGAAAAGTACAACGTCAGAGAGAACAGTTCTCTGTCGATTCGCTCTCTCCTACTTTCTCGAAAAGACCGGACGCAACGGACAGATCGAAGGAGTCATTCGGAGCTTGGGCATGATGGACTCCTGCAGCGTGGAACAGAAGCAAAGCGACAGAAGGAGGCCAGTGATCGCAAGGAACTAAAGACGATCGGGGTCGGACGGTGAATTTGATCGCCAAGGAAGTTACAACTGACTGCGCGTTTTCGCTCTCTCTTCTCCCCCCTCTCTCTCTCTCACTCTCTCCCCTCTCTACCTAATCAACAGGCAGATCTGAACACAGGAAGAACGCTTCATCAAATCATTGGCACTACCAACGTTCTTTCGCTGACATCGTCTTACAGTTAGGCTTCAGAATGGCCGTACTGAAGAATGTAATATGCCACGCTATGCTGAATTAAGACATACAAGGTAAATCCCGAAATAGTATGGAACGTCATTAAATTAAAGTATTTCAAGCGGATAATTTTCACAACCGGGTCACCATGCGTGACCCTTGACGTATCATGACGTCCTTGATAAAAAACAATATGAAACAGCGACGGCTGCTGGTTGTAACCATTAGCCCATGCTATATACTACACGTACAATCAAACAACGAACGCGTAATATACTAAGAATTAAACATGTATATTATGTAATTTTAATGACGCCAAGCGGGTGTTTTGAGAAAACATTTTATAACCAGCCATGTATAAATCCTGAACAAAAAACATCTTTAGCTCGTTAAAGTTTGTGAATACGATACAAAAACATTCAGTGTTAGTAACGATAATTGATGTGGACATTGAAAACGTTCAGAATACAAGGACGACTGCGAATCGAAAAATGGGGTTTGCCAAACCCAGTGATGAGGTATAGCTAGGATCTACTGATAGATCGAACTTCAAAAAAACAGATTAGGCCCAATATCTGCAAATTCTAAAAGGAAAATAATTTTTTTTCCAATTTTTAGATTAGGTGAAGGACAAAAGAAGGATATATCTACGTCGTCCAATGCACCACAAAGCAAATTCAACGAAAGACGCAAAAGGCCGTGGTCATCGTGAAAGGCAATGCGATTGTTAATAACTACTGGTTGCGGTTAATGAAGGATAAGCCCATTATGATCCATCAGAAATCGATTTGCTCAAAATGAGAAACAACACGCTTCGACAGGCCTGTAGACCCAGCCACGCACACATACAGGCATTGATTTACCTCCTCATTCTGCATCGAAGGAAATTTAAACTGTACGTTTGTGTCGGAATATACCGAAACGAGTAGATAAATAGAAAATATGTTCTTTCATTCGTCTATAAGGTCTGTATAAATACATAATAAGATCCTAACAAGCAGGAAAGATGCTTTCAGCTTGAACGAAAATCTCGTTTCACTACCGGCACGGCCTTTGTACTGCGAACGTAATATAGTACGCCTGTCTAATTTCTTACAGAAAAAGATTGTCACTTATTGAAGTTGAATCGCTTTGATTTAATCGTTTACCATCCATAGCACCGAGCCTTATTAGCCATAGGCCGACTGGCTTGATTGATTGATTGATAGAATTCACAGTAAGCGGCGGACCTTTACGCCTGAAACAATGTTCGCGTCTATTCATATTATCGTCACGTAGTTGTTTGATAATATATATGTATATATATATATATATATAGTAGTGAGTTTAATTAATCGTAAATTGCCAAAGTAAATTGCATTC